CAATCTGTGGAGCCTCTGAGAAGGCAGTCAACCTGTGCTAATTCCCACCAGGAGGAGGTGAAGCTTGAGGAATGTAAAACTGCAGCTGTCACTTTAGGGTTTGATTTGGATAATATGGTTGATTCTGTATAATTTTGTTTGTTATTCTGAGGAGATTTTGTATTTGACATCAAATCAGGAAAATGGCCACTGCTGAAGCCAGCTGGTGCAGAGCTTCTCCCTCTAACAGAATGAACTCCTCAGGGTGCTTATCAGAGGCACAGAGCAGGTATGGGACACCCCACTGGTTTCATATCTGGAATATGTTCGTACTGCCCTGGTTGCTAGGTTAGGTCAGTGGTTGGACTCGGTGATTTTCCCCAACCTTAATGACTCTCTGATTCTACCTCACACTGCTGTGTGATGAGTTATTCAGCTGTAAATGGTATGCTCACAGTGCTTTTGTGTGGGTCTGATATTTTACTGTTAGGGATGTGTTGGCTTTGTCTAATAGTCCTGATATGAATAACAGGAACAGCCTGAAGAGTTTTAAGGACTTGCCTTTTCATTTCAGTTGAGCTGCTTGCTTTGAATCTGGCCCTTGTCACAAATACTCTCTTCTCATGTCATTTTGAATTCACCTCTTTTCATTGGCCATCTTTTAAAATGCTCTGTGCTGAACTTAACCTCAGGCTACCAAGATAACTGGCATTTATCCTTAATTTTTCATAAGAAAATAAACCTCACCTTTTCAAATAAGCTGATCCCATCTCCCTGGCAGACAATGTTGAGTGTTGTGTGCTCTTAACAGAGTTTAGAGTGGATCCTATTCATTCATCGTTGATAAGTATACAGATAAGTTATGGCTTTGTTTCTATTATTTATATGCTTGGAATGTAAACTTGCTTCAGAACAAAAGTCTAATTTTAGAAAATAAACATGCATTTGAAGGTAGACAAATCTAAGAACTAAGCATTAACTGTGTAATATGTTTTCTTATGAGGAACATAAATGATATCTCAGAATACTAACAGATGCATTACATATATTAATGAGGGGTTTACCATGTTCTGTATCTCGAGAACCCCTTTTCTTTTACTTAAGTTATTCAATATAAATTTGCATTCAGTGCCATCAGTTAAAAATTGACTGCTTGAAGTTATGAAATAAATGCCTATGAACTAGTAGCTACTTAGTATCTTCAATTCAACAAAGGATTTCAGAAGGATGGATAATTTAGATCTTTGAGCCTCAACTATAAATAAACAGCAACTGCTGTATAAATCCCACCCTGCTGCAGAGGAAGATTGTATTACAAAACTGACAAATGATTTGCGGAAGAGAATGATGAACCCTTATTACTAAGACACTCTTCAACTTAATCCAAAACAAGATTCCCGGGTAATTTTACGTGCACTGGAAAGATTGATAGCGTGGTGCTTGCCCAGCAGCTTTCAAATGTTTGACTGGATCGGAAATGGCACTGAGGCATGATTAAAGATTCAGTTGGGCTCCTCACCAATTCTTTATCCTGTGTATTCATTATTGCAACCCGCTGCCTTTGTTGCAGGTTAAAGAAGGCTGACCCCAGCTCTGGTGATTAGCACCCTGTACAACTGATGGACCTATGGAAAAAAATGTTTAGGTTGCCTGATGCTTTTAGCATTGTTTATCAGCTGAAATTGTTGGGAGGGGGGGCCTTAATCACAATGAATCGGGGAGAGTCTGTGACAACTGACAAGCTCATTGTTTAAGACATTTTTTAACGAAGTTGTTAACATTAATTCTTTTATATAGTACTCTAATCTTCTTCAAATTATGTTCTGACATGGCACAAACCGCTTGGCATTGAAAGTCATTCAACAGTGATTAAAGTGCTCTTTTTATTGGTTTAAGAATGTTTCATCTTGTATCAGCAGTATGGAATTGTTTACTAATTAGATTCCCTAACATCCTCTGCTGTTGTATGCTGATGATATGTGAACAGGAAAGCTGATGAGCAAAAAATTAAAACTTGTTACTAGACTGTCATAAGGCCCAGCATATAAAGATGTCATTCAAATGACTGTGTTCATAAGGGATAAACAATATTTGCTGAGAAACTGAGCAGTTTCTGGCTAGCAGTGCAGGCAGTTTGTGCTTGTCTGCAGCTCTGGCTCTTCACAGAGGTTTGTGGGGTCGTAGATGCAAAGGAGGGATTTGTGCCTTGGGGACCTTCCCATTCAGCATGGCATATATGAGGCTTCTACACATCCACTTTGGGCAGGAGGTTGGGCTGGAGACCTGTTGATACTCCTGCCAACCCAAAATGGGATTTGATTCCTGTGACTCTGATGCTCACTCCTCTCAGTCTTTGAGCAAGTCACTTAGGCAGATCCTCAAGTGTCTGAATGCAACCAGCTCACAAAGGAAATTAGGTACTTAAATGGCTCTGAGAATCTGGGATTTACCTTCTGTTACATAGCTTTGCTGTCTGAAGCACTCTCCTAGGCTTGATGAGTTCATGTTTGTCCATAATTGTGGGATACTAAATCTTTACCCTCTGTCAACGAAGGGATAAATACGACTGCAATTCTCTTAAGTAATAAGAAAGATATTTTTCTTTCAATGATAGAACCATTGAATTTTCTTCTTCCAAAACAGCCAACGTGATTGAAACATTTAGAAAGATCTAAGGATACACAAAGCCAAAAAGCAAATGGCACGTTGCTTACATCCAGTTCTCAGCAAAACACTGGAGGCATCGCAAGATAAAGTGCTTTGGGCTTCCAGCCACATAATCTTTTATCGCTTAAAGTAAATATCCTATGCTCACACAGGGAAAGCTATTCTCTTCTTCTGGAGCCTAGCTTGTGTCAATGCTCAAGGTATAAAGCACTGCTCTTGTGCTCTGGGGTGTTTTTGGCCTGCCGAGAATTTTGTTTAAACATCGTCAAATTCGACTCGTTTGAAAAGATAAATTATTGTTTGGGTTGGATTTTAAACTGGCTCTGATAAACTTCCATTTTATGAATTAGCTGAATTCTATTAGAGATAGCCTTAGTTTAGCTTGGCTGGATGGATGCTTTTCAGCAATAGCTTGAGGGCTCTCGCTCTGCACTGAGCAATTCAGTTTAATTTTACCTTTCTAATGAAAGTCCAGTTGAATTGCTTGCAAAAAACTAATAATACTCTTTAGGGCCTTTGAGACATTCTAAACATCTGAATACAGTGATCATACCTGTACTGTAGAGCTTCATAGGATAATTAAAATAAGCATAGACATTTTAGTGTTCTCTATTAATATTATTTTTAGAACTCTCTTCCATTTCTGCTACCACCTTTAAGATATTTTCTCTTTTTTAAAAAAAGATACTGGTTTAATAAGAGGATTACTATGTATTATACTAACTTTAAAAATATTTTGGTCTGTTGATAAATATATGCCTTTCAAAATACTTAATACAGACAGTTTTGGTTTACCTTGTGATGGGAGATCATTTCTAAGTTGTGGAGTCATCATTATCAGTTTAATCCCATCTGCTGAGGAAAATGCATGTCTTGCAAACAAATACGCACTTCTTTGTTGCTACAAAGTTGAGATGCCTCAAATAAGGAGAACTAGAGCTTTTTAAACTGCTTCCTGTCCTTGAAGGATGAGAATGCAAAGCAGCGGTCTTCTGCATGTTGACCCCCCTAGCAGCACCCTGAGTTTCCTTGGCTGTGACAATGAAAGGCCAAAAAACAAAGGAGTGGGGGAAAATCACAAGAGATTGAAGCCTATTCTCTTATCCCATTAAATTATCTTAATGTGGCAACAACTAATTTCTCTTCATTTACTTTTTCAATTGCACTTGGCAGCCTCTTTATTCTGATTCCTATCAGCTCATAATTTGTTACCACAGAAAGGACTAAGATGTACATAAATAATCATAAGATGCCAGATAAACTCTATCGGTTTTAAATTAGTGTTGTGTTTTGCTAATGTGCTCTCACCTATTATTTTTAATTATAGTTTACAAAGCAAAATAGCTTCTTGCCCTCTCCCCAGCTGTTCTAGCACTGTGCTTTTAATCTGTGCCAGGGAATAGCCCATCACCCATGCCAGGGTGCTTGCCCCAACCCTGTGGCCTCCATCTGTAGGTTTCTGTTGGAACAATAAACCCATTCTTCCTGTTTGAACATAAGTTCACTTAGTATTTAAATTAAAAAAAAAAAAAAAAAAAGGAAAGGGAAAGGAAAAAAAAGAGAAAGCAAGAAAAATTTAAAAATCCCTTCTGATCCACAAAAGCCTCTAATCTATCCACTCTATTTCTCAAAGCATTAAAAGACATGAGAAATGGTTGTTACAGAACAAAACTCCACTGGAAAGCCTCGTGTCTCTGCAGAACCAGCCCTGTCTGTGCCTGCAGCAGACAAACGCTCTCACACAGTAGCAGTGACAACTGCCATGGGGAGATTGTTGATCCAAGATCCATGGGCAGGTTTGGCACCGATCCCGACTGCACTTTACATGATAGGTCTTAATTGGAGTGCCCAGGTTAATTTTGCACAAGAGGTTTAGAAAACCAAACAAACCAAATCCATCTATCAGGCTGTGTTGCGGGTCAGGGTGCCCGGGCATGTGGTCAATGATTTCTGTGATGCAAAGGGAAGTTTTGAGGTGCTGCTTTTGAACCTGGCTCAACTGTTCTGGTGTCAAACACCACCTGGGCAGCCCCTGCCACCAATCCAGGTGTTTACCCAAAAGGGGCAGAACACCTGAGCTTGGGACTGTGGTTCAGGAGTCTCTTTTTCTTCTACTTTTAGAGGGAAGGAAAAGAAAAATGTCCTAATTGAAGTGGTTTGTAAATAAGTGTCCAAGAGCCTTCAGCCGTGTCGCCGGGCGGGTTGCCCTGCCAGCAGCGCTGCTTGCACAAGACACAGCTCAAAAGCGCCGCGGTAAAACTTACAACGCTAATAATAAACGATAAAATATCTATGTATTTATATAGTTTTGTTTATTTTCTCTCTCTTAATTAGTTTTTTTTTTTTTATTGCAGCAACAAGGAGCTGCCACGACGGTGTACTGCGCCACGGCGGCGGAGCTGGAGGGGCTGGGCGGGATGTACTTCAACAACTGCTGCCGCTGCCTGCCCTCGCAGCAGGCACAGGCCGATGCCACGGCCGCTGCCCTCTGGGAGCTCAGCGAGAGCCTGATCCAAGAACGAGTTGGCAGCCAGGCCAAATAGCAGGGAGCTCCTGGAAGGATCAAAACACACGAGTGTGTGCACGCTCGGAAACTGCCAACACTGGAACCTGTCCAATCTTATCATCTAGAGGGTTTCCGTGTACCTCAGATACAGATTAACCGGTGTTAAATGAAATAATAGCAGTCACAACATAGTGAAAAATGTTAAGTACTAATGGGAGGTGGGGAATACTGTGGGTTAAAGGGACAGTGAGGCTTCCTGGGGCTTAGTTAGTCTCGGTTCTCTTTCTTTTGATTATAGCCTGTTCAAAGTGTAACCCAAGGAGGCATCTTCTCTCTTATTTTAGAAAAGCAATTCTGCAGATAATTTCTGTTGTTTTGATTAATGGGTAGGTATGTAGCCCAATATGGGATTTCCTCCTTATTTTGATAATTACTGTCTGTTAGGCTTTAGGTATTGATTGGGAGATGGTAGTTGTTTTGATTCTTTTTCCCTACAAGGATTTTATTGGGCGTGGCAAATCAAAAGATTATTGAGGAAAGAAATCTTTTCAGCCCTTGACTGTTGGTTGCAAGCACATCTGCACTGTCTAGAAAAAGAAGGTGCAGGAAGACATCTGAACAGTAATGATAAGGTCACAGCTAATTAAATATTTCTGTTTTTTTTTTTTTTTTCTTAAAAGATTACAATAAAAGATATGTTGTAAACCATTCCCTAAGTACTGTCGAGTTAGCAAAGATGATGATGTCTCCTTAAGAACACACAGAGTGTAATCAGGGGTTTAAATGGTATTTCCATCAATTTCTTGGTTCACAGTTTTAAGGAGTTTTATTTCCTTGAAAGTTCACAGTTTCTCAGTTTTCCTGATACCGTATCCCATTCCAAATCTGTCTTTTCTTTCCATTTAAATTCAATAAAACAACATGCTTGCTTGAATATTGTCTTGCTTGAATATTGTCACCTGAAGAGAAAGTTTATCTCATTTCTGCAAATGTCTTAGTTCCATTTTTTTCTAGAAAAGAAAACTTGAGGAAAAATAAAGAGCTTCTTGTTGATGCCAAGAAAACATTGGGGTTTTTTTCTTGTTTCTTTCTGAGTTCATTTTTTGTATTTTGTGCTTTGTAGCTGTCTTCATGCCAGAAGGTTGTTCTAAGCCATCCTCAGTCCAGCATCACATTTTCTGTAGACAGAATATAAACAAATAAATAGAAGGACACATTGTTAATAGAAGTTTATTTAATCCCCTTTGTATTTCTGCTTTATTGTTAACAATCTGCCTCCCATGATTTTTCTTTTCTGCAATCATAGTACATTGGATTACTTACTGAACAGAGTTAAAGTCAAGGCTTCTACCCAAGTGCAGCCTCAGCTGCTCCTTCCTTTTCTGCTTTCTTACCTGATGCCACAGTCTTTCTGAAAGCAGCAGTAAAGAATATGTGGCCTTTTTTTATCCCTGCTCTGCCCCCTCTGTAGCAACAGCTTCAGGAGACAGCAAATGCTGTCCACTCGTCCTCCTCAACTCTCTGCAGCCCCTTCCCCAAGGGCAGCACATCCTGCTTTAAAACATTTGATGGGATAAAGAAATAAAAGGGGATATTCCAGAAAGAACACCAACTCTTTTTTGGCCTTTTGCAGAGTAAAAAAAAAAAAAAACAAACCAAAAAAAAAACCCCAAAAAAACCCAACCCAAATAAAAAAAACATGTCTTGTCTTTCTTGTCTCCTATCCTAGAAGTTTTCTCCAGTCTGTGCTACACTGAGCAGATGCTGGTGTAGTGCAGTGTGTGAAAATCCATGGCCTGGGTTGAAGGCTTTGCAAGCTGAGGCAATGGTTACAGCCAAATTCCTTGTATTGTCTGGAGTTTAACTGGGGAGAAAAAGTGATTAACTCCTGTCACCTGTGCAACAGCCCTCACACACACATTATTTTTCCCTTTCACAGCCAGACAGAATTACTCTGGTATGACACAGCCAGGGTAGGACCGCAGAGCTCTGCACTGGAGCTTGGCATTGCTGGGTTCAGAAGAGGCACTAATTAAGTGATGCTGGGAGCTCTGCACTCCCCTGAAGGCCTGGGCCTTCTGCTCCATTTAGGCAAACATTAATAACCTATAATGAACCCCCTGTCATTCCTTATTGCTGAAATATTGTTCGCTTCCATGAGAATTCAGTACTTAGGGATATTGCCTGCCTTCCTTCAAAGAATGTCTTGTACTCCGCTCTCTATTTTAGTGTTGCAAGGTAGGAGCACTTTTAATGTTAGCATAGTTTTAGTTTTGCACTAGTATGAGGTAAGCTAACCCCTAACTTCACTGAGTTGTTTGGGTTCCTCTGGTTTTTATTTCTGGTTATTATTTATTGACACCTGTGCATTTCCCTGTCTAGAATTTCACTGTCATAATTTTCTCCAATGCAGAAAAAATTACTTGCTCCCTGATTCTTTCTTTCTTACTTTTTATTTCACTCTGTCATTTTCTGTTTCTATTTTTTTCTCTCTCCATTTTCTTTCTTTCACTCTCTGTTCTCCTCTTTGTCTCTCACTCTCCTGTGTTGAGATAGCCAGTATAAAAAAAGGCTTTTTCCAAATGGAAAAAAAACCCCCACCAAGCTGTAGAGTCCTCGCTTCTATTAGAAACACTTGTGAAAATAATGTTTCTTGCAATCTCAGTTTGGTTTCAGTGCAGGAGGGATGTGCAGGGAACATTAAAAAGGGAAAAGCAATTGAAAAGAAACAGACTCCATTTTAATATCCTAGATGTGCCTAAGTCATTGGCTTTCAAATATATTTTGGTGTAAAATTTGGCACATTTACAGCCGGTCAGATTTATTTATTTGACTGGCTTACATTTTTCCAGTTGATTTACCTGAGGCAATGTCTGTGTGAATTACTCCACAATGCATTGACTCCAGTGTTCATTAAAGGTAGTTAAGTGATCCTGTGTCTAATATTAAAGCAAACCCCATTAACCTTAACTAGTATCATATCAGCAAAACAAAAAGAACTGAATAAGGCAAAATAGATCGGGTATTTATAGTTCTTGGAAGAGATCCAGCAAATTCACATCAAGCTCCTAATAGTCCTAATAAGCACTTGCTAGTTATGCCCATGGAAAAGGGGGAGGCTGGGTTAGGGCTGTGTCTGGTGCAGGCTCAGGCCCTGCAGGGCTTTGGGAAGGGGAGGTGCTGGCAAATGCTGGAACATTTCCCACCCACACCCTGCAGGGCCTTGTCCAACCCTTTCCCCCCTGCTTTCCTTCCAAAGGCAAAGTTTCCCATTTTAATGGTGATTTTTTTGACCCTGTATTGGTGCCCTGTAGGTTCAAGTCCGTGAAGGTGAGAGAGCAAACTCCCTTGCTGGGGTTGAAGAGCCAGAAGCTTTTTGGGGAATGGAGGTGCCTTTTCAATCAGTGTCAGCTTCCACTGCTGCCCAGTGTTTTGCCCAGACAGTCACTGACTGCTGGGACCTCTGCTTGCCAAATCAGGTAGAGCTGAAACAGCAGAAACCCATGCAAAATCTTGACTTCTTTCATTTTTTCCTTCCTGCTTTTTCTTTTGACATCTGGGAGACAAATCTCAGATATTCTCAGACCAGGTAGGGCTTCTTATTAGAGAAGTCTTTCCAGCAACCCTGCAATAATTTGACTTATATCAAGGTTGAATAACTCCTTGTCAGGTGTTAAGCTCGTGACCTTTCAAGCCAAACACACTTATACTAACCAGTTTACCATTGGAATGATCAATATCTTGTAAGTGAGAAAGTCTAGACAGATCTTATTTTGTCCTTTGGTATCACTTGTGGCTTTGGAATTGATCATTATATGTGGCTGGGGGAAAATTGCCTATACATTTCATGCTCTGTATTTATCTTGACAAGGTTCTCTAGGATTATATTTTCATAATCTGAATGGCAGTGGAACAGCTGCTCAGATGGTGCAAGCCCTTCTTATTGGGCTGAATTTAAGCTACGGTAATTACTCTTTCTCCTTATGTATTTCTTTTTTAAACAAGCATGTACTATACATTAAAATGTATGATTGGGGCGGCAGGGGGCATGCTGAGAAGCTTGCAAAATGCTGCTAAAGTGTATTTCCTTCCATACAGTAGCTGATGTGGGTTTGTATTTTATTCTAAATATAAGCCCATGTCTGAGCACGGGTGGGCTCTGAAGCAGGGTCCCAGCCTACGGAGGGAAAATGTTGTTTTATCAACACAGAGTCAAGATTCCCTGAGACTGGAGGCAGTTTAGGAAAGCTGGAATAGCCAATAGTAATACCCAGTAAATGCATGACTGACTGAAGCCTTCAACTGGTCCCTTATAAAGAGAGGCCTGGGTGAAGCCCATGCCCAGGGAAGCAGCTGAGCCATCACCAGGGACCTGCACGGGCTTGGGGGGTGCCTGAGTGACACGGGGATGGAAGCACTGAAATAGAGCAGACAGAGGGGTGGCTGTTTGCTGGTGCCCTTTACTGTGGCATAGAGGAAATGGGGAAATAGAAAGGCATCTTGGACAGAAAGAATATACTGCTTTTCTCTTGAGTTTGTTTGGGGTTTTTTTTTTTTTTTTTTTTTTTTTTTTTTTTTTTTTTTTTTTGTTTTTTTTCTTTTTTTTTTTTTTTTTTTTTTTTTTTTTTTTTTCTGTACAGTGCTAACTGTGTTATTTACTAGATGCCTTTTCTGGGCTGTGCTTTTTCTTCTCTCCCCCACCCCTGTTGCGTTTGCAGAGTACTTTCCAAGGGGTGTTTTGTGAATTAGCTTCATGCTTTAAAAGAGAAGATTGCTCTGGCAGAGAACAGCATAGTTGTAAAAGTGTCAAGGTGTTATGAATGTCCTGATGATAGAGCCCAGTTGTTATCTGCTGGGTAGTGAGGGAGGATAGCTAATGATGTGCAGCATGTAAACCGTTTGTTGCTCTAATCCATCTGTGTGGAGAGGAGTGAAAAAGAGGGGCGAAATCCTGGGAAAATTACTTGGACAGCTGGAGATAAAGTGTGTACTGATGGAGTCATCCAGAGGTAGCTGTCAACATGAGCTGTGTTTGCATATAATCCAAGCGATGCACAATGATTCCTTTTGGTACCGTTTTTTTAATGGGGGTTCATGTGTCTGTGCACAGACCTTAATTACTAGCCAGTATCTCTTACCAACTGGGCTCCAGTTTTAAGTGAGGAATGTGATTTTAATCAATTCGTGCCTGGGTGGTGGAGAGAAGTACTACAAACAGACCAAAGCAAGACATATGGATCCCTTTGGAGGACCTGAATTAAATGAGAAGCAGTCATTTTATTAATTCTGCTGTGTTTTATAGACCTTTTATATGGAACATTACCCATACAACTTCACTAGCTAATTAAAAAGGGCTCTTATCAATTTGCTGGGCAGTTGCTTATGCAGAGGGGAGAAAAATAAAAAAGAGAGGAAGAAATAATATTTTTTTTTTTGAGTCCCAGAAAATCATTAACCTTAAGGGGGTACAGAACAGATCACCAAATGCCTGGTGAGACTATCTGGACTGCTTATCTTCACTCTTCTGAAAGAACTGTTGTAAAAACTGAACATTACACAACATTTTGAGACTGATCTGCACCATGCCTGTTGTTCATAGGGAAACCTTACACAGGTCTGGTGCAGCGCCTGCAGATATGTGAGCACAGGATAAATTAGGGGCTTTGTACACTGGATTTCTATGATCCCTCCTGGCAAAGAAGGCAGCCTTTTCCTTGAGCTGATGTTAGCCTTTAACAGCAGCAGTTTGAGCAGCTTTGTGATGTTCTCAGCCAGGACTGAGGAGTCTGTGTGATGCTGGTGTAACGTGGAAGCTTTTTGCAAAGGGAGGAGAGAGAGAAGCAAGTGCAGAGGAGCCACCCTGGTCCTGACTGATGATCACATCAGCACGGAGCTGATGGCTTTAAAATGGACTTTGGCTTCTGCAGGCAGCCTGAGAGGAAGGGCAGGACACATGGGGGAAGGTGATGGGAATGGGGAGTGCCCCTCTGAGTGCAGCCCTCTGTGCTGCTGCCTGTGTGGGGTGGGACGAGGCTGAAGCAGTCCCAGAACCTGAACAGCAGCA